GTTGCATTGGGTCTCTGTTGTTATTTTTTAGTCTACTTTTTCTACAAATTCTACTGCTTTTATAGTGTTTTAGGGACAGTTGCTTTTCTGCTTTAGTGATCAAATCGTTGTTAGTTTTTTCTATACAGATTTTAGTTTTTCTTGTGAATTTGTGTGTACTGGAGAGATTTGTATGATTGTTTTTTTCTATTATGGTGGTTACTACCAAGCAAGTATCGTTCTTGCGGGGGGCTACTTCTATGCCTACTATAGCTATAGATTTGTGTTACGTTTCATTTACTGGATTTTATGTTGTATTAAAGCCCTTTTGGAATGTAATTTCGTTTCATTAGTGTTGAATTTCACATGTAGACAGACCCTGTAAATGACAATGGTAATGTAGTTTGGGGTACACATCGATCTTTCACTGACTTAAGTACCGATCGAGGTAGCTACGAGGCGTCGGAGGCCGCAACGGTTTATGCGTGGACACGGCGCTAATCACTGAATGGTAAAAGGTCCCGAGTTCGAATCCAGCGACCGAGCATTCAAACCCGACATACATAAAAATTTACAAATGGGTTTTTCTTTTTAAAAAACATCGGGTCTATATAATCTCGTAGTTGAAATACTCTCGTAAAACAAGGAAAGAAAAAAGTGATGTAGCTACAAAAAACGATAGTATTTCTATGTTATCCACTTTTCGGTTAACATATGAAACATCTACATCAGAGCTAGGTTTATGCCTAGTCCTTTTTTCTTTAGAAAAATACAACAGTGAATAAGCAGTTTGCTTCTTTCCTTTAGATCTTTTCATTCTTTTAATGAATGTAAAAAAACTTGTAAAAGTATGTCAGGTAGTATGAACACCAGCATTTACATATTATTACTATAAACAAAATACTTTCAATACGGGTTAAGGAGTGGGTCATTTTCGGCAGAATGCCCTCGGCTATGAGCAAGTGACATAAAATGAATTACATCTACTTTTAACCTGAACCCTAATGTCAAAGTTCAATTGAACATTTGTAATTTTAAAATTTATTTCAACTAGGAGAATAAGAAAAAATTTTATATTGGACTTTCACTCCGAAGGTTTCTCACTCCCCGATGTGGTGAACCTAGGGTCTTTACCTCAGAGGGGTTCACCTACCCCGTTATGCGGCTGGGTCCCTAGTATCTCCCTTAAGTCAGATGCCTAGATGATCGTCGCTTCCCAACCAACGGTAACTTTGACAGCTAGTTAATTTCAGTCATCTTAAAACTAACTAACTTTTACAATACAGTCACACAAATAAATACATTCACACCTATGTACGCTGCAAATATTCTGACGGTGGAGTACTCGATATTTCGCCATCGACCCTAAACAAACATTAGTGGAGGAGAGATGATGATGCTATATTACAACATAAACCCCTCACCACTCACGCTAATAAATACATGCACTCAAACAAAGCATAGATCTATTAAAAAAAAAATTTAGTTCTCCAAAAACCGGAACAGGGTACACAGAACCTCGCTACTGTACCCGAGCACGTTTATTAAAATAGGCGGCTGACACGCTCTCTGTGAGGAGTCAAGTCATGACAAGCTTCTGTTATGCGAGGGACAATCAAGCAACCTTTCTCTGCTTAAGGGAACCTGAGCAGGCTTGCCCAGGAGCAAGGGCCGTGTGTCAACTGCGTATGATCTATTCTTAATCAGATAAGATAGATTCCAAGTTTCCGACTCAGGATCTCAGGCTGGGCCATCTACAGTGTTGTCCTCATGATACAAAAATCTTGTTATAATTATTAAATATGTGTGTAATAAATTGGTCAAGAGTTCTGTACTAGTTAGAATGACTAGTTTTTATTAGCAGTAAAACAGTCGTCTATTTAAAATCTGGAGTATTAAGTTAAGGGATGATTTTTATTTTTAATTCTAAAACCAATTTGTTTTAATTTATACAATAAAACATGGTAAGTTTTTTTTATACACTAAAAAGTTTTTGTTGTTAACTTATGAGTATTCAATGCGGAAATGTAGCCAATTAAAACGCCATTAAACGGCTATTAAGTATTAATGACAGTCTGAACGTCATTACAATAAAAAAATTTGTTTCTTTTCTCATGCACAATTACAGAAGAGTTAACCACTTCTCGCCATCGATAATTATGCGAACGGTAGTTTTTTTTATCTCGTCGATAGCCGTGATTATTTCCCTGCCCCAGACGGCGTCGGTAAGATTAAAGCTTAAGCAATTTAAATAAAGTTCAGCCGCGTAAAATAATCTCCGTGATAGGGGAGGGGGAGCGAGAAAATGGGTTTTTTGTACCCTTTAAGCCGTGGAGGCTATTTCCTGCTTTTAAAGACAACCCGGAGGCGGAGGTATAATGCAGGACCCAATCATAACACGGATGCCCCGCCTGACTAGGGCGTAAGTGGTCAAATAGACGACAAAAGACGTAAAGGGAGAGATGGCATGAAAAAAGGTCTAATTGCTCGTGGTGAATCGTCTCTGTGATGGAAGAATGTAGAATTGGAGAGAAGAGTGGTCATCATGAGGGGTAAATGGCAGGACATTACAGCGTCTGCCGCCCGCGGCGATACAACTCGAGAACAATGGAGACGATCACCCATGTCACTCTTTTCCCATTCCTTTACTTCCAACAATTTTTACTAGGGTGCTTCAGCAAATAACAACATAATAACAACCGTCCACGGCTGAGCAATTTTCGTAGATAATAATCAATTTCAATCTAATGGCATCTTCTCATTCAATGATAACCTATCATAAATCAACAACATTTGCTAACTATAACTTTTATACGTGTACTTAATTCAGAAAAGCCTTTGGTCTTATTAGTTGCAAGTTCGAATCCTACTGAAGCGCCCAATTTTTTTACACATGGGTTCTATTGTAAATTAAAAAAACGACTTAAACTATTTTTTTACGTATTAGGACCGGTTTTTAACGTTTTTTAATCGTTTCTCTCTTCCTAAGCTTGGGTGTGCTCTTTTACGATTTCTCCAGTCAAGTTATGATATTTTATGGTATAACGATAACCTACCTTCGCTTTTTTTATCCTATTGCTACTTCTGTTGATAAAGTGACACAAATACATAGAACAGAAACAAAATATGATAATCTGGTTAGGATTTACACTATCTAAGACTAATGTAATCTTTATATTCCTCGGGGTAATTGGATATATGCTCCACCATTCACGCTAATAAATTACATTGTCACATTCACTCACACTATCCCAGAGTACTTTGTAAAATAACATAAATACATAGAACAGAAACAAAGTAAAACATGATAATCTGGTTGGATTCACACTATCTAAGAGTAATCAAATTTTTATATTCTCGGGGTTATTGGAGATATGCTCCACCATTCACGCTAATAAATTGCATTCTCACATTCATTCACACTACCCCAGAGTACTTTGTAAAATAACATTAATACATAGAATAGAAACAAAATAAAACATGATAATCTGGTTAGGATTCACACTATCAAAGAGTAATCAAATTTTAATATTCCTCGGGGTAATTGGAGATATGCTCCACCATTCACGCTAATAAATTGCATTCTCACATTCATTCACATTACCCCAGTGTACTCTCTAATGTCCATATTTTCTTAAATATCAGGAAGGAATTAATTTTTAGTCATTAGGTTAAACATAACACAACAACACTGTCCCCAGCATGTATACATTTAATTTTAACGTATCTGTGGCATGTACCGTTTATCTTTCATGGGCCGTCGTCGGGCCAGTTCTTCAAGATCCAAATCTCCAGTCACCGTTACAGCCATTACTGAACAACCTAGTGGGTTGCTATTTGCAATTACGACCGTGCATAGTGAAAAACAGCCTATCAATTTTGACTGTCAAAAGTAACAGGCTGCTGGATAAAACATATTTTGGTGTTATCAATCGTTCAATAGTTAAAATTACACAATTTTTATATATCAATTATTTAAATTTATGTATCAATTATAACGTTGACTTGCAAATATTTTATTTTAATGTTTTACAATATCTATTTACAACTGTAAAAAAAAAGTGAAAGTGAGATTAGAACGGGAAGAAACATCAACGCTATTCAATAAAGATGTATTCATAAATTAAAATGATAAATAATGATTATAATATAATATACGTAAGCTGAAGAAGATTGCATTTTTTGTAAATAACCTGAGAACAGTTTTAACGGTTCAATTAAAAACCATTTGCAACCATTGTTGAATTCAGCTACAAAAACGTTTGAAAAAATGTACATTGATGAGAATTTTGCCATTTGGAATAATTAATGACCTATTCTTATCCCGCTATCTTTAAGAGTTTGATCAAAACTTTTTGGTTCATGTGCAGGTAGGTGGTAATATATACTACAAATTAAAAAATTCGCACTTGTAAAAACGTAAAAATGGTTGAATTATTATTCTTCAATCGTGCGTCTGATGACCTCGTGGATAAGTAAATAAAGTTTCATGGAATTATAAAGACCGAAGGGAATAGGAAAAAAAGTCGTTCAATTGTCTGGAGGGCTTCTGTGGCTGGTTACACATATTTTATTCAAATCGATTGTACGCCGAGATAGAAGGGAGAAATGATTGGTGGGAGAACGAATCGCCGAAGGGTAATGAGACCCTGGGGTGATCGGCGGTCCCTCAGGGCATCCTTCCTAAAAGGTCGTCTGTGTGGGTTTCGACCGAGCTTCACCAATTATGGTCCGAAACGCGTTTTACAATTACACTGCACGGATATTTTACGGGCACTTTGAATGCAGCAGTTTTAAAATGTTCGGCCGGCTAATAATATCGGATGTCGGATATTACGCTTAACCGGCAGTTAATAGCCATCGGGGCGGTTGGTTCATTTGATCAAGCTCTGACCGCACCCATGTCGTCGAACATAAAAAAAAACAACAATAAAAGAGTTTTGTATTATATTATTTTTCTACAGATTGAATCTCATCCTACATTATTTGAGATTTACCCACTACAACTAGGTTTATCTTACCAACATGGCATCACAGGAAATCACCACAAACCTGTAAATAAAAAGAAAAAGATGTATAATGGATAAAAAAACATTAGGTGGTAAATAAATATTAAATTGATCAATAATCTAACAATATGGATTTAAGACAAGCATACAGAAAATCTGACCATTAGAAAAAAACATCAAACCATGTTAGATAGGCGATCAAACTGCAGATATATTTGGATTTTTATTTTGCAGTTTTTCTGAAGTATTGTGTCTTATTTTACCAGTTGGTTTTTACATACTACAATAATCATCGAATGGATGGATATATGTTAATTATATCGTCATTGTTATGACAATTACACCTGTTACTTATTGGGTTTTAACAAGCTTGAATCGGTTCATATAATCGTATGAACTTATGATTGATTATCATACATGATTTTCTGTGTAACTATTATAGATACTGCTAACTCAATTCGTTATATTCAATCGATGACATAGGCGACGGGTCTACAACATTAGCAAAGACAGAATACAATTGATGATGAACCGAATTTTTTCGAGGTCAGAAATTCTCGGCTGGACGGGAGGGAATCGAACCCATGACCGCGAACTCTACGAGCCTAACTACTAAACTACCTTGGTATGGAATATTAAGTTAAAAATACATTTTTGTTTTAAGTGTTACGTGAATGGATTACTTTTTTACTCACTAATGGTATGGTCTTGATGAAAAAACAAATTCAATTGTTTGTTTCTTACTGCCAACCTGTCGACCTACATATTTCAGGTCACCATCAGGGCAAAACAATCTTAAAGATGTCACGTGATTTTTGACTAAGATGAATTGCAAAAATGGTTGTCGTTGACTGTTTCTGTCTGCTCTCTCTCACTCTCTCTCTCTCTCTCTCTCTCTCTCTCTCTCTCTCTCTCTCTCTCTNATCTATCTATCTATCTATCTATCTATCTATCTACCTATGTATCTATCTATCTATCTATCTGTCTATCTATCTATCTATCTATCTATCTATCTATATATCTGTCTGTCTTTCCAACTATCTATATATTTAACTATCTACCCATCTATTTATCTCTCTCTATCTGTTCTTCCAACCATCTACATATTTATCTATCTATCTATCTTTTTCTTTAATACATAATTATATTTACATATATAGTGTTTAATAATGCTACAGTCCTTGGAAATGTTCATATTGAGTCGGCCTTGAAATATGAAATCATTTAAATCAATTATTACAAAATTTAATTATGTCCATTGTAGAGATAATATAGATTGTTTTGCCCCGATGAAGACGTAAAAAACGTTGAAAGCTTGGCAGAACAACTGAATTTGTTTTTAATCCAGATCATGCCGAGATCGAAGTTGTTCAAGAGTAAAGAATACATTTTTGACTATATATTTATGTTTTATATTCTACCTTTTTAAAAATTCTTTATGGGCTTAGTAGTCTTTTCTACTTAATTAAATAGTATGTTGCTGGCCAACTTACCTACCAATTATCAACTTTTTAATAATAATGTAAAATAATTTCAATACTTTATGAATATTTAGCACAGAGGTTTAATAGTTTTCAATATTATTGTAATTCTGTGTTAAAAACAGTTGCAAATTTCAGAAAACCCTCCCAACTACCGTAAATCAGCACGTCAGAAATTTCGCATCCTGAGGAATCCCCTCAAACCCTCCTCGCCGACTGAAGAGACAATGGCCGCGAGATCTTCTAGGAGGAGATGGTGATGATAGTGAAATGACACAAGTATTAAATAAACAGACATTGGAGTAATACCAATTTTCTACACTCTTGTTTTTAATTTGGTATATATTACCTTGCTCATTGTCGTATGTTACCTACTGTTACCTGTAGTTGTAATGTACTACAAATTAAAAAAAAAAATTGTACTCAATATTAACTTATTTGTAGCTTTGTGTTTTTACTTCTTGTTTCTTGTTACAAGCGAATACAGATACCTTTGCATTTTTTCTTCTCAGATTCCACCCTGTCTCCGTCACTATTCTTAGAATTATGTTATTAAATCCGGTTAAAATCCAAATAAAGGCCGATGTAGAAAGTCGGAGTGGGCTGCATTCGGCGTAGGTGCAAAGGTGAGTCGTGAGTGTCAACATTTATGACCCAATCAGGCGCCACGGAGTCACCTCCATGAAATCCATCCGAAACGGCGTCGTGAAACGAGTAAAAAAAAGACGAAAAGAATCGAAACGCTGTTCTTGCGCTTAACATAAACGCAATTATCCACGCGGCTTAGTTAACCCAACAGATTTGTTAAAAGATCGGCTTTCAACAAGGGTGTACTTGAGAGGCCGCTCTCACATTATAAAAAACAACAGTGGGAGGAGGCAAAGGTTGGATCAGGCATATGCTTATCGGTGTCGTGCCGACATTAAGCCTTAAACGAATAAACAACCTTGAGTCACTCGTATATTAAAAGCTCGCTCTTCATAAATTTTTTATTCTCATTAAACGGGAACATAGTGCAACCAGCCAGTGCTGGTAAAGTCGTGTTCGGGCTAGTGCGTGGCAAACTTGAGATTGCATACAAACAGCTAAATTCCGACAAAATGAAATGTCATTGTATTCATATCAAACAATGGTAGTAAAAAATTTCTAGTTCTATTGCTGAAAAGGTTAAAGTCTCTCGTAGAAAAAAAGATCTCATACCACAACATAAATATGGCTTTAGAATAAAACACTCAACAATAGATCAAATTACAAATTTACATATATAATCTAAACCTAATACGTACAAGTTCTCCCCTCCTCCATCACAGAGCTATAAACTGTAATGAAAGATTACTGACAACCTTTTAAAAATATATTTTCTTGTAAAAATATTATTTGATTATATTATATTATATATTATTCTTAGTAAAAATATGATTGTAGTTAATTAGTTCGAAAACACCAACCCTATTGGTCAACAGTGGACCCGGAGGCCATATTTGAGAAGCCAGCCAACTCTGGCACTCAAAATAAGAGATTAAAGCAATATAGAGAGTTGGGACAACGAAATATTGTAATGGAATTTTATATAGCGGGAATCGATCAATTCGTGGACGAAAATGCTAAGGTCATTGTGGATAGTGAGTGTAACGAGACTAGTGGACTTGGAAGAATATGCTCTATATTGAATAGGCTAGGAAGAACTACTAGCTAATGACCTTTTAGCGCTTTGTACGAAGGTTTACAGTTTTCGGTTCTTGGAAGATGATGATGAGGATATTAGAAAGGTTTAGTTTCCCCAGACAGCCTTGTGGCTTATTGTACTTTTTCTAGTTCCTTAGTCCAACTCCTTGATTCTCCTTTCAAGGCGGAAAAGGTCTTTGTTTCTGATGACTGTTGTAGCTGCAATAGTTTTTCCAGGATCACCTTGGCACTCCAAATTTCGTCAGCTGAGCGGGTACTTTGCATGTGAATGAAGGCCAGTTTCTTCCTTATCATTGCATAATCAACTGTATCTCTGTTTAATACTCCAACCATAAGGTTACAATCACGGGCCACTATGGAGCCCTAACACCCCCGGAACCCTCTTGTTTAGCTGTAGCAATATCTGCCAGTTATGGCAAGAGCTATTTAAATGTTTTTTATGTCCTTTAATTGTTTTGTGTGAACTCGGTCTGAGATGAAGGAGGTCAGGCAGATCCTTCCCCGGTCAGCTGGTCTGTTGCTCATTACCTCAGATTCCTATGTGCCCTGGCATAACGGTTACGTTTTCCCAGATATTCGATTTGGATGCTTTCACCGACTGTTATATATGGGGTTTAGTATTCTTCATTTCCAAATTACTTAATTTCTTCATTATCTTTTTCCTTGTTCCCATCTACTCCTACCTGTCATGGGAAACAGTACAGTGTAAACTTGGTATCTATTTTATTTAATTTTCAATACAGCATTGTCAATGAGCCAACAACGTTTGTGGTAAAAGCTCTGATTGCTATTCATCATGATGACATTACAGCTATGTCCTTGTTTTTGTATCTTTCATTCAACTTGAACAAGTGTACTTTGCCATGGGGGGAATACTTGGTGCCCGACCTAACACCCCCTTCTAGCTTTCTAGATCTACCAGCAGATAGTGCCTTTTTTAACGGAGGTTTTTCTTTATCCCACTTTTTTGGTATCCAGATTTGTCTAGAAATTTTGATAAAATTCAAGCATCTTGTTAATGTCGTCCTTAGAAGCATCGGATATCGAATAATCACTCATTATGCTGGTCTTGTCACTCGATTTAACAATCCTTTTGGAGGTTTTTCGTTGGAGATGTTAATAATAGTTTTCATTGCTGATCTCATTATCATTTGATGGAGGGGGATTAATCCCTGATTAATCATTTTCTCCCTTCTGAGGTTTTAAGGAGCTTGGATAATCTGAAGATTTGAATGTGTACGATATTGGATGGCTATGGAGAAGCCCACGGTTCAAATATGTCTTGAGTGGATGATTTGTTTTTTACAGGTTTTACAGATTTGATTCTATCTGATAATGATCATGAGGATATTAGAACGATTGCTAATCCTCGAGCTAGGAAACCAGTTCCTTGTGGTTTGTTGTACTTTTCCTAATTCCTCAGCCAAAGCCAACTACTTGACTTTCCTTCCGGGAAGAAAAAGGTCATTTTGTTGCTTTTGACTGTTGTTGCTGCAACACTTATTCCCGGGTCATCATGGTACCTTAGTTTTTGTCTATGGTTATTCCTTCGCATTTGAAGTTAACATGGGTTGTAGTTTCTTCCTTCTCATTGCATAATCTACATTGTTTAATATATTATGTAGTAGGTTTTCTTAGACACTGACCGATATAAATACATCAGTCAGCCGTATAACCCCACTGATTTTACCTTATCTAGCTGTACCAATATTGAAACCTCAATATTTGTTTAATGAGTAATATTCCGTTTAGAATCTAACGACATAACTACATACTGTGTTTTGTGTCGGTACTAGTTTCTTCTTTATATTGTGTACTGCTTTATTTTTCTGTTTGTAAAATTAATGTGTACAGAGACTTATATTCATTTATTTTAATTTTTCAATCTTTTATCATTCAGATTGCTCATATATTGTGTAATTGTTGATGCTATAATGAATGTTTTTATAAGTAACAGATAACTGGTATAAAGCGGATTGGTCGTAGGATGTTTCCCTGAAGAACACCAGCCGTTATTTCTTGGTGGATTTGTCCGCTTCCTTTACACTGGACTAGTCCCTCTGAGATGTAGAAGGAGAGAATTGTACGTTCTGGGTTGGCAAGTAAGTATTTCATTTAAAAATCAATTAAAAAATTACTTGATTGGTGCTTTCGGTAGTTTTTATTTAAAGAGTAAATATGTACAAAAGATCCATTATATCAACGTTTAACATTTTCTTGATTAAATATTATGCCCTGTAGTAATTGGCAATGAACAATTATCAAAATTAACCCTCTCTTTAATTATAATTGATTTAAATGATGAATATAGCAAATTGAATCTAAGTAATGAGAAGCCCAATTGCATAAATTGACATTTTGATATTCATATATTTTTCTATAAATTATTGTAGGGTTTTTCTCTCCATAACGACACCGCCATAAAATAATTATTTCAGCAAATTTCAAATGGAAGTGTTAAGAGGTTAGAGAAACCATGCGGGGTACAACTCATCTGTTTTTCGCTGGGTTTCTCATTTGCTCCAGGCGGCTTCCTCCATTACTCGAATAATTACCCCCGGAACGGAACCAGTTACAGTTCCTGCAAGCACGGCTAATAACTGGCAAAGATTTATATTTACACCGAGTAGTTAGACCCTGAGGGCACGTACGTACTCATCAAACATGTCAGAGTCAATTCTATTTTGTTGAAACGGGAGGAGGAAAAAAACAGCCTTATAAATTGAATTTCATCTGGCGAAAATGTGGAAAATTGCAGTCATGATCAACATTTCTCAGCCGGCAAATTGTTCATAAACGACATTTTTCTGTTTTTCGAAGTTAAACTTGTTGAATCTGGCTTTCATTTCATAAGCCTTTATTATAATAATTATTTCTACAATAAACCTTTCTTGCTTTGTAAGTCTACTTGGAGGATAATTTTAATTCAATACACACAGTTTATTTCCTATTTTCGGCCCAGAAGTTTGATATTATTTGACACTCACGTATACTCTTTAAACCTAAGCAATTTGTACCTTAAATTTTACCCTATACAGCAATATATCCTTTATACTAATACGAGGAGATGAGATCAATCCAGGCCGGACTTTCGCAAGGGAGCATTTTTGGTCCCTACTCTCTCTTCAACTCTTCACCCCGACTTTGTTTTTTAACTGGAACCCTATGAAGCAATTCCTGACATCCTATCTTGAGCTCATCAGTGAAGAAAGGTACACGCAGACATTCACATTAAACGCAAACAGACTTGTTTTTAACTGCACATCAACAGTAAAGATCGGCAGAAAACGTCTCAGTTTTGGTAGACTCCTAGTCTAACGTGATATCTCCTCAAAAGAAATACGATAAAAGAAGATGAGACTGGACAACTACGCATACTTGTTGGACCAACATGTGTTTTTACGGTAAACAGCATTCAACCCTCAAAAACTTTAGAACAAATACCTAACAATATCTTGGGAGTCAGGGCACAAAAGGGTTTGGGTAACAGGCAGAAAAACCTGCCAACGGAAGAACCGCAAGACACAATCAAGGCCCAAAACCTTTAATTGGTATATCAAGATCAAACAAAAGCCCATCTCAAAATGGGTCTAGACAAAACCACGTAGAAATGAATTCTAGAGGTGCTGGACATACTAAACCCATGGTTAACTTGAAGCTCAAAATGGCAACCACATTGATACAATAAACAGGTTAAAACATATGGGAGTGATGTTAGTAACTATCCGCGGCCACTGCCTTCTGAAAAAACATATACACAACGAGGAGGAAGAAACTTTCATCAACATTATTCTAAATAATTATTCAGAAATCGTGAGATGCCGTCTGGTGTGATGTAGGTTTCAGAAAAACATTTTCTTTATCGTGCCAACGTTTCGGTCTTTATTGAGATCATCTTCAGAGTGCACTCTCAACACGACACGCAAGAATGGCACAATTACACAGAAGACAAACACTTTGAGCCCTGAAGACCGCATCTCACGATTTCTGAATAATTATCGATTAACGGTCACTAATCACCACACATTATTTTAAATGTAAAGTAACACTCAATGAACTTCTTGAGAATCAAGAAGTTGAACTGGAATAAGGACCCAAGAAAAGTACA